ACGCCCCCCTCGGCGGCGGGGCCACGCCCACCCCGCGCGCGCCGCCGCTTCCGCCGCCTTTGTGTCCTGGCCACGCCCCGCTGAGGCCACGCCCCTTGGTGGCTCCCCCGGCAGCGCCCCCGCTGTCGGTTGGCCACGCCCACTTATGGCAACAACCACGCCCCCTTGTTGGTCGCACCCAGTTTAGGCTACGCCCATTTCCGGTTCAGTTGAAGCTCGGTGGCCACGCCCCATTCGGACACGCCCATTTAGACCACGCCCCTCCTCTGGATTAATATCCGCGGTCCGGGCCACGCCCCTCCCTTGGCCACGCCCCCGTCGCGGTCCGCGATGGCGGCGCCGCTCCCGGGTCCGGGTTCGGGTCCGGGTCCGGGTCCGGGTTCGGGTCCGGGTTCGGGTCCGGGTTCGGGGTCGGGGTCGGGGTCGGGGTCGGGGTCGGGATCTGTCCCGGGTTCTGCTCCCGGTTCTGCCCCCGGTCCCGGTTCTGTTCCCGGTCCGGTCCCGGTCCCGTCCGCAGCAAATTCATCCGCTGGGAGGAGGTGAGAGACTACCCCAAATCACCCCAAAATTACCCCAAATTACTCCAAAATCACCCCCAAATTGCCCAAAAATTACCGCGAAATTACCCCGAAACCACCCCAAAAATCACCGCAAAACCACCCTGAAATTCCCCAACAATTACCCCAAAAATCACCCCGAAATCACTCCAAAAATCCCTCCCAAATTACCCCCAAATTATCCCGAAATCCCCCCCAAATTACCCAAAAATCCCCCCAAAAATTGCCCCAAAATCACCCCGAAATCACTCCAAAAATCACTCCCAAATTACCCCCAAATTATCCCGAAATCACCCCCAAATTACCCAAAAATCACCCCAAAAATTGCCCCGAAATCACCCCAAAAATCACTCCCAAATTACCCCCAAATTATCCCGAAATCACCCCCAAATTACCCAAAAATCACCCCAAAAATTGCCCCGAAATCACCCCAAAAATCACTCCCAAATTACCCCCAAATTATCCCGAAATCACCCCCAAATTACCCAAAAATCACCCCAAAAATTACCCCTACATTACCCCAAAATCATTCCCAAATTACCCAAAAATTACCCCGAAATCACCCCAAAATCACCCCAAAAATTACCCCAAAATTACCCCAAAAATCACCGCAAAAATCACCCCTAAATTACCCCAAAATCATTCCCAAATTACCCAAAAATTACCCCAAAATTACCCCGAAACCACCCCAAAAATCACCCCAAAAATTTCCCCAAAAACCACCCAGAAATCACCCCAAAATCACCCCCAAATTACCCCAAAAATCACCCCAAAAATTACCCCAAAATTACCCCGAAACCACCTCAATAATCACCCCAAAACCACCCTGAAATTACCCAAAAATCACCCCAAAAATTACCCCAAAACCACCCCGAAATCACCCCAAAAATCACCCCCAAATTACCCCAAAAATTACCCAAAAATCACCCCCAAAATCACCCCAAAATCACCCCAAAATCACCCCAAAACCACCCCGAAATCATCCCAAAAATTACCCCCAAATCCCCCAAAATCCTGAATTTGGGGGGGGGTCCTTGGTGCCTTTTTGGGGGATTTTGGGGTCCCCCCCCCGCGGTATTTTGGGTGGGGGGTCCCGGTGATTTGGGACCCCCAAAATTTGGGGTGGGGGGAGGGAGGAATCTCCAAGGGCTCCCCCAAAATTTGGGGATCCCCCCCCTCCCCCATTTGTGGGACCACTGAAGGGGTTCCCTCCCCCCCC